CACAAGGATGGGAGCCTGGATACCAGGGCAGCAGTAGCAAAGCATCCCACCCCACATCCACCATGGGAACACAGCACTTCTCCCCCTGGACACAACCACCCCAATAATCCCCCGGGCAAAGGAGACAGTGATGAAAACCTTGCGCCGAATCCACTTCCCCAAAATTCAGCTCCTATAAATGGCTAAAAATCCCATCCCCAACACGAGTACCAACATGACAGAAATTCTTTGAAGGCATTACTTCATCCTCACAAAGAACAAAGTTTGTTTTGTTTTTTTAAAGAGAAGTAGCTGTAATACACATAGGCGCATCCAACGTCAGACTCTGGACCAGAGCAGAGGAAGTCTGCAAGCTCTCCAGCACCTGGCCACAGCCACGTGGCCACCCCTGGGGCAGCGCACACCCCACCGCCCAGCCAGAGTGACATCGCATGGGTCTGGCAGCAAATCCCCAGTGCCCAGCTGCAAGGCATTACACTGGTGCAAGTAATAAGCAGAGTGGGAGTGAAAAGGAAGGTTGGGTTTTTTATATGTATATAAATAGAGGCAATATCTAAGGAGGGGAAGTGACTCAAGGGGCCAGAGAGGGAGCAGAACAAGTCGGGGAAAAAAAAACAGAAGCAGCTTCCCCACTGCAAAGCATGCAGCAACAGGGCAAAGCAGGGACTTAAGGTTAGAAAGGAGAAGGCAGTGGTGGCTGGGTGTGTCAGAGGACAGGGGCTTAAGCAGGAAGGGGAGGAAAGAGGGCTGGAGCCATACAGGGCACCCCAGGCTCTCACGCCAAATAAAGTGAGCTGCTTCTCTAGGCTCAAACTGCCTCAGGTCCTGCCTGGCTCTGACATGGGATCCACGTAGCAGTCCCAGACAGCATGAACAAGCAGAGCTCCTAGATGCCCACCAGCCCCACCACTGCCCCATGCCAGCCAGGGGCTCACCTCACCAGCACCCAGCATTCTCAGTGATTCACAGTGATGCCCAGCTTGATTTTCTCTTCGTTTTCTACATCGTAGACACCCCTCTTGTGGCACCTGTGAGGCCAAACAAAGAGATGCTCAGAGCACGAAGTCCCTGTCACCCTCCACTGCACGTGGTCTTCCTGGATACGCGGATCTGATGGTTCAGTACCATCCCACTCACCTCAGCATCAGCAGGGCTGCGATGATGACGAGACACAGGGAGGACAGGACAACAGCAACAACAGCCAGTGCTGTGGTGTGGTCGTAGGCACTGGGGGGGTGCTCCACAGGCAGCGAGAGGCCGTGGCATCTCTCTCCGTGATATCCTGGCTGGCATCTAGGAGAGAAGAAGTCTTAACGGTTAGTGGTGACCAAGCACAGAAGGTCATTGGGACCCTCACACCCCCATGGAAAGGAGCTGCCTCTTTGCTTAGCCTTAGCCAGCACCCTGCCTGTTCCCCTTGGTCCCCCTCCCCGGAGCTGGGAAGTCTGGTGTCACCAGACTCACTGGTACTAGTAAATTAATTTTCTCCTGTCCCAAGCACCAAGTGAAGGCTCCTGGAAAAGTTGAGCTCCTCCCAGTAGAAGGCACCATGGTCTGTGCTCTTCCCATTTGTCCCCAGGCAGAGCCAAGCTGCCCTGGAAGTGGGAAGTCCCACACAAGGGAGCAGAGACGCAGCTGGACTGGAGCTCAGCGCTTTCCTCAGAGCGGGATGCTCTGAGGAAGTGATGATGATGCGCACCCTGCCAGCCAGAGAGGTGCCACCTCCCTGCAGACACAGGAGGCTACTCACGTAACAGAAATAATGCTCCCAGCAGAGCTGCATGGCTGCAAACCCTCCCCATGGGTCAAAGCACACTGATGGGACCAGATATACATATCTGTCTCTATACCCAGTGCCACTGACCCTTGAGCTCCAAGATGGGGTCTCAACTCAGCCCTCCTGCCTGGCTCACAACACCACCATGTGCCAGTGTCACCTCCCAGCCATGGCAGTGAGGCTGGGCACAAGGCAGAGGGGCAGGACCCAGCCTGGCAGCACCCTCACCCCACCCCGTGCCCTGGGGAGCAGCCCAGGGAAGCAACAATCCAGGAGACCCTGCAACATAGGCACCCAGCCACCAAGAGCAGCCACAACCAAGTGACACCAGCCAACATGAGGCCTCATTACTGGAGGGGAGCAGGGCAGTTGGCCACTGTTCCTAAAAACCATGATAGCTCTGGGGAGCTGTCACCCAGGGATGGGCCACCAGGCTGGAGAGCCCCAATTGGCCACTGGACCACTCCTGCTTGCCCATGTCTCAGGTCCTCCCCCAGCCCCAGGGATCTGGGAAGGGCCAGGAGGCTGGGCAGGGGACACCTGGCTGTCCCAGTCCCAGGCAAAAGGGGGACTGCACCCCACATCACACTGGGTCACCAGCCCACATTGAGCCAACACAGATCTCTTGCTGTCCCAGGCACCCTGTACAAAGGGCTCAACTTCATGACAGCTTCCAGGCAGACAGAAACTAAGCAGTTCAAGGAGCTCTGCGTAGCCTGATCTCTGTGGATTGCAGGGCATGAGATCTTGTGGGCACCATAAGCCAGGGAGCTATTATCTTCCCTGGGCTTTGGGAGCAGGGCTGGATGGCTCAGAGGATTGATAGCAAAGAACAAAGCCTCTTACAGATCTGCCAGCTCAACCCGTGCCCACGTCAGCAGGGATCAGATGTGCACCCCTGGGTATTTCCTGCAACAGCGGTACTGGATCCAAGTTCCCTGTCAGCAGGCAAATGCTTTCTCCTCCACTTGCTTCATCTAGTCCTTGCTCTCTACTTGCAGCCCAGGAGGGTGGGAGAAGGCGGGTACACAGCCCTGTCCTTCATCAGGGCTGAGGGACAGCTTAGGCATGGCATTGGCAGACTGTCCCCAAAGGTGCTACTTCCAATCTACCTTGCTGGTGCCCTGGCAGAAATGCTCCTCCTGCCTGCACCAGTACACCCCAACACCTGCGGGAGCCCTGAGCAGGGGGATGCAGGGTGACAGTCAGACCAGACCTGCAGAAGAGCTTGGCTGGGAGACACCAGCCCCTACTCCTCATCCTTTGAACCCCACTCCCGCAGCTCTTTGCAGCAGCTCAGCCAGATCTCACCATGCCAGTGGAGAATGCTGGGTCTACAAAGATGATTAAGGGGCTGGAGCATCTTTCTTATGAGGAAAGACTGAGAGAGCTGGGTCTGTTTAGCCTGGAGAAGAGCAGACTGAGAAGGGACCTTATCAATGTTTATAAATATCTAAAGGGTGGGTGTCAAGAGGATGGGGCCAGACTCTTCAGTGGTGGCCAGTGACAGGACAAGGAGCAACGGGCACAAGCTGGAACACTGGAGATTCCACTTAAACATGAGGAGGAACTTCTTTACTGTGAGGATGTCAGACACTGGAACAGGCTGCTCAGAGAGGTTGTGGAGTCTCCATCTCTGGAGATGTTCAAAACTTGTCTGGATGCAGTCCTGCGCAACCTGCTGTAGGGAACCTGCTTTGGCAGGGGGGTTGGACTGGGTGATCTCCAGAGGTCCCTTCCAACCCCCACCATTCTGTGATTCTGTCTAAGCTCATGATGGATTTTGGTGGGGGATGGACATTGCTCAAGAAGCACAAGGAAGAGGCCAAGTCAGAGCTGTCCCCATGCAGATGGGGAACATGAACTAAAAATATCATC